CACTTGAGCCACAGCACCACTTCCAGTTTTCTGGTGGTTCATTGGAGATAAGAGTCTCAGGGACTTTCCTGCCCAGGCTGGCTTTGAACCATGATCCTCAGATCTCAGCCTCCTGGGTAGCTAGGATGACAGGCGTGAGCCACTGGTACCTGGCTTGGTCCCTTTCTTATCTGGAAGAGGATATGGGGAGATTTCAGGCACCTCCCTTTGCTGTTGAGTTTCCTTTTTGGGAAAACTCTGCTCTTAAAACCAAGCTTTTGTTGAGTTAATTTCTTTTCATTTTTAGTTTGGAGCTTCCTGTCACCTTCGTTTTGAGGAATACGGGTGAGGCTTGTTTGTAAAACACCCATGGACCGATGCACTTGCTTTTTAAGTAGATATATGTGTGTTTCTGAATATATTCAGCTTTTTTTCCTCCCCCCACCCCCAAGCTCGAGGTTTTGAGGTTCTGAAAACCAAGCCGAGTGTCCCAGCGTGGAAATGGGAGCTGCTCAGCTACTCATGAAAAATCTTCCACCCAGCAAGCAGTTGCTGAACTTGCAGGAGCAGCGCTATGATGTGGAGGAGAAAAGGGATCCAGTGTTTCTTCCGGGGATTAAAAGTGAGCCCCAAATTGCCAGGCCTCGGGAGAACAAGGCTCTCGTTGAGGCCCCTTTGAATGCGGGAGCCGCTTTCTCTCTGAGCGCTCAGTGCTGGGAGGCCGTGTCCTTATTGCCTAGGAACCCAACAAAGACCCGCTTGGTGGCTGCTTTGAAGTTTCAGCTCCATGTAGAATTTTAACCGTGAAGGGGCACAAAGATTGGTTTCTTCTTGAGTCCTCAACGGAATCTTACAAAGAGGGACCATGAGTGGGGCGCTGGGCTGCTGTCTCTTCGGAACCTCCAAACCCCCAGGAGCTGAGTATTGTGGTACCCCCACCCGAGCCCCCTCTGTCCTCAGCATTCAACCCTCTGCAGGTGGAGGGTGCAGGCCTCTGAAGAGGCCTGTTGTGGTCGAGAGAGTGGATCTTTACTTGGTTCGTAGCCTGCTTGTGCTACTTACCTCCGTGGACATATGGTCCGGAAAAATTGGGATAATAATGCCTGGATTGAAGACCTATGAATAGAGGCGGGGAGAGAGATTCACAAAGTGTGTGAGTCCACTTTCTGTTGCTCTAACAATGTGCCCGAGGCTCAGTCATACAATGCATAAAGAAAAGAGGCTTCTTTGGCTCATAGTTCCGGAGGCCCAAGACCACGGCTGCGGTATCTGCTGGCTCCAGTGAGGGCCTCATAGTGGTAGAAGTGTGTAGGAGAACACGCACGAATGAACAAATGGAAAGGCAGAGACCAAAGCGGGGTCAGGCTGGCTCATTTCATAACAACCCATGCTCGGTGGAACCAACCAGGGTCTCCTGAGAACCACAGTGATCCCCTCCCACGATTCAAACACCTTCCACTCCCCACCCTGGCCACAGTGAGCACCCTTGGGGGGCACACTGCGTAGACGCCAGAGCAGATCGCTGGCATCGCATAGGAGGATGGCCATGGTGGTCCCTTACATCTCCCTGTCCTCTTCCCCCTCAGTTATGGCTGGCACAGCCGTCTTCTTCCCGTCCTTCCTCTCAGACAGACCATGTCCAGCTCCAGCCCATCCTCTTCCCTGCCTCAACAGGGCTCCACGGTTGAGCTTGTTTATCTACTTGTGACACCTTGTTCCCTGACCTGGGAAACGGAAGTGTGCATCTTCCCCAAGGCAACCAAGTAGCTAGCGCAGGGTCTGACCATAGCTGCGGCCCGTGTGTGTGAGGGACCGAGCAGCGTCCACGAGGCCAGGGACCTGGAGATCCTCTCTTGGTTTGTGGAGTTTGGCCTGTATGTGGACTATAGACTCAAGTCCTGGGTTCACATCCAATCTCCACCATGTTCACCTATAGATTCTTCAAAGCCTCGGCTCACCCACTCATAAAAGAGGGTTATAAAGAAGTAGCTAAGAGCTGGGAAGGTGGCTCAGTGGTAGAGTGCTTGCCTTGTATGTATGAGGCCCTGGGTTCGATTCCTCAGCACCACATAAGCAGAAAAAGCTGGAAGTGGCGCTGTGGCTCAAGTGGTAGAGCGCTAGTCTTGAGCTGAAGAGCTGAGGGACAGCACCCAGGCCCAGAGTTCAAGCCCCACTACTAACAAAAAAAAAAAAAAAAGGAAAAAAGAAGTAGCTAATATTTAAGTGGTTCCTGGAAGAAAAGCCTATAATAAGAACTGAGTAAATTATTGTGATATTAGATACATATTTGAATAAATATTCTTATACTGTTGAGGTGGATAGGTAGTTTATCTGTACATATTTAATAAAATTTATATGCCTTAATGTACTCAATTATACCTCAACTTTTTTTTTTTTGTCGGTCATGAGGCTTGAACTCTGAGCCTGGGTGCTGTCCCTCAGCTCTTCAGCTCAAGGCTAGAGCTCTACCACTTGAGCCACCATGCCACTTCTGGTTTTCTAGTGGTTCACTGGAGTTAAGAGTCTCACGGACTTTCCTGCCAGGGCAGGCTTTGAACCATGATCCTCACATCTTAGCCTCCTGAGTAGCTAGGATGACAGACATGAGCCACTGGTGCCCAGCATCTCAGCCTTTTTACCTCTCTCTTTCTCTCCCTCTCTCTCTCTCTTTCCACTCCCTACCCCCCTCTCCCGTCTCTGTGCTGGTCCTGGAGCTTGAACTAAGGGCTCAGGGCCTGAGTGCTATTCTGAGCTTTTAGCTCAAGGCTAGGGCTCTAATTGGAGATAGGAGTCTTGCTTTCCTGCTGCAGCTGGCTTCTACTAACCACGATCCTCAGATCTCGGCCTCCTGAGTAGTGGCTTCTGAGTGAGCCACCCGTGACCCACCAGGGCTTGGCTTTTCTTTTCTCTTTCTTTGATGGTAGTACTGGGGCATGAACTCAGAGCCTCATGCTTGCTTGGCTGGTCCTCCACAACTCGAACCACACTTCCAGTCCTGTTGATCACTGGTTAGTTTTGAGACAGGGTCTTGCTTCCCACCCAGGCACACTCCTGGGTAGCGAGCCACCTATTTTAGGCTTCCCATTGCTGTTGTTGGGTTTGTTGGTGTGTATTGCTGCGTCCGACTTCCCTCTGTGGAGAGGAAGTCTCTTGAAGTTTCTGCCCCAGCTAGCCTCACACCCAATCTCAGTTTCCTCTAGCTTGGGATGACAGGCCTGAATCTTCCATTCTCAACATTCCAAGTAGCTAGGATTACAGGTGTGAGCCATTGGCGCCTGGCTTTCCTCTCTATCTATCTATCTATCTATCTATCTATCTATCTATCTATCTATCTATCTATCTATCTATCTATCTATCATCTCTCTATTATGTATCTATGTATCTATCTATATACCTATGTATGTATGTATGTATGCATGCACATGAATATGTGCATGCATGCATGTATCTATCTATCTACTGTCTATCTACCTGTCTGACTGTCCATCTATCTATCTTATCTATTATCTATCTATCTATCATATCTCTATTAGGTATCTATGTATCTATCTATCTATATACCTATGTATGTATGTATATATGAATGTATGTATGTATGTATGTATGTATCTATCCATTGATCAATCAATCGATCTATTGTTAGTCAAGGGGCTTAGGCTCAGCCTAGGTGAGTCCCCAAGCTCTTTTGCTCCAGGCTAGCGCTCGACCACTTTGAGATATAGTGCCACTTCTGGTTTTCTGGTGTTCATTGGAGATGAGTCTCATGGACTTTCCTGCTCCAGCTGGCTTGAACCTCGCCCCTTAGATCTCAGCCTCCTTAGTAGCTAGAATTACAGGTGTGAACCATGGGTGCCCGGCTACCTTTATTTCTCTTAAAAGTTATTTTTACCTATGATAAATAATGCTTCCGTGAACAACCTGAATCAGGTAGCAGTTTCCTTGACTGAAATTCTCCCCCCTAGGACAGACTTAGAAATGCAAGGCATTAGTTTAAAGGAGTTTTAGGCAGCAGTTCCTGAAGGTATCTCTGTAGGCTGCAAAGAGATATCTGACAACACAGAAAAACCCAGAAAGGCTTCTCAGTACTCAGTGACCACTTGCTTTTGACCTTTGAGATGGAGATCTTTCTTTGATGCCAACTTTTTACTATATCCCGTTAGGTTGGAATCTGGGACTTGATGCCTTATTGAATTATACAGTCGTTTCAAATGTGATTAAATGGAGCTCTTATTCACCGTTATTGGTTCTTAAATTCTTACGACTTTCAATTAATGTAAGAATCACTCAGTGTCTGTAACTGGACCTTTCTCTCTTCCACGTCCCTTCTTTGGAGGGGTTTGGAGTAGTGTTTCACAATGTTTCCCAGGCTGGACTTCCACTCCTGAGTTCAAATGAACTTGCTGTCTCAGCCTCGTGAGTGGGTGGGATTACAGGTGTGCACCACCACACCCAGCTCCCTTACACAACGTTGGCAATGGTAGATCCTGATGCAGTTCATCTGGTCTTCGTTTAGTCACTTCATTTCTCTGCTGTGATCACTCTTGTGTGTCGGCTTTTGTCTCAGGCAGGTTCTCTGGGGATCTCAAAGGTCTCTGGTGCCTTCGTCAAAAATCCTATGCCCTGCTGCTTTCATTTGGATCTGGGACGTCCCTAACTAGTCCTGTGTAGAAGGCGTGGTGCTATTGAAAGGTGGTAGGACCTTTAAGAGCTGAGGCCTAGTGGAAGGCTTTGGGCCATGGGGGCGTGTCCTCAAAGGATTGTGGGATGCTGGTTGGTCTCTTCTCTCTCACACCTGGCCTGAGGTAAGTGGGCTTCCTCCACCAGGTGTTCCTGCCACACAGAGACTCAAGGTGATTGGTCGTGGATGGCGACCTTCAAAACTGTGAACTCAAAAGAAACCTTCCCTCTTTATTAATGGATTGCCTCAGGAATTTTATGGTAGTAATGACAATCTGACTAATGCTTGTGAACTAAAGTGAAGAGAGGCCTCTTTATATATATATATATATATATATATATATATAATATATATGATATATACATATATATAAATTTTTCTTCCAGTTTTCACCTAGTAAGTCTTGTGATGTCCCCGACTGTTTTTCTTGGGTCATGGGTCCATGTCTGAACTCTTGAGTGAGTTTGGGAGGATTCTGGGGGCGCTGATAGATCGTCACGGGCTCTCCATTTCAGTCCCTGCTGCTGGCTTCAGGAGAGGTTGGGACGGCCTCTGGCTTCATAGGACCACAGTAGCGTGTGCTTCCAAATCAGAGAGCAGGTACCAGGACGCTGTTAGTTGTCTGGTCTCCCTGTACTTTAGTTCCTTTTGCTGTGAAATAGAGTATAGCAATACCTGAGATCACATCAAACAGTGTGCTTGCCTTGACATCCAGCACAGAATAGATTTCAGTAAATGTTGACTTTGAGGACAGCTATAATCATAATCTTTTTTTTGGGGGGGGGTCTGGTCGTGGAGCCTGAACTCTGGGCCTGGGCGCTGTCCCTCAGCTCTTCAGCTCAAGGCTCTACCTCTTGAGCCACAGCGCCACTTCTGGCTTGTTTCTTTTTGCTTATGTGGTGCTGAGGAATCGAACCCAGGGCCTCAGGCATGCAAGGGAAGCGCTCTACCACGGAGCCACCTTCCCAGCCCAGCTATAATCATAATCTTACAGAGTTTAATACAGTTGAATTATTCAGGCACTTCGCCTTGCCTGTTTAGAAGTATGCCTGACAGTTTTTGTTTTTGTTTTTGTTGTTGTTGGTCGTGGGGCTTGAACTCTGGGCCTGAGTGCTGTCCCTAAGCTCTTCAGCTCAAGGCCAGTGCTCTACCACTTGAACCACAGCACCACTTCAGTTTTCTGGTGGTTCATTGGAGTAAGAGTCTCATTGACTTTGCTACCTGGGCTGGCTTTGAACCGATATCCTCAGATTTCAGCCTCCTGAATAGCTGGGATGGCAGGCTTGAGCCACTGGTGCCTGGCTTGCTGGACAGTTTTTGAAGCAAGAGAATTTCCAAGTGGTATTTCAGAGATCTTTCTAGGACTGTCTTTTAGTTCTCATCTTCCCTGTGCTCGGTTTCTGGCCCGAGGCAATAAATAGCCTCTTCCTTCCTTCCATTTTTATCCTTCTTTAGTCTTTAGACCCTTCCAAGCCTTAGCTGTGGGGCTCTTGTCTGCCCACCAGAAATTAACAGCAGCTCCAGTGGTGGGGAGATGGGTGAGGCCCTGGGGCTTGTTCGTACCTCAGAGGAGCTTCCCCAGGAGGGTGGCCTGTGAGGAGGATCTAATCCTTCCTCTGGAGTGCTTGGATGGAGAGCTGTCCTTATTCTCCCACTTGGGGTAAAGGGTGCTGGTCCCGCGGCCGCGTGCTTTGTCCCCCCAGATCGAATGCAGGGGAGCCCACACGGCTCAGTTGCTGTCTTGCGATCTGAAACCGGAAATGATCTTTCTCCCTTTTGTGTTTAACATCTCTGAAATTGGACACCTTCCAATTACTGCGCATGTCAGGTATTGGATTACCATCCCTACCTGATCCCACCTTTACCTCCT